ACGAAAAGTAAAATCAAAAGTAATATATATGCAAAAAATAAGTATGCAAATTAAAGGAATTAGAAATTTAAAAAAAGAAAAAAAGGAAAACAAGAAGAATTAAATGGAAAAAATAAATAAATTAAAACTGAAGGGTAAAGGTTAATTTTTATCATTCATTTATAAATTATCAACAATTTACTACATTTTATCCCTAAAAAAAAAGAAATCTTATATACTTTTAATAATTTTAATCTATAACAAATCATAAATAATGATATATTATTAATAAATATAACAGATGAATGGAACATATTATGAACTATGTTACAAATCAATTTTAATTATCCCAAATAATTGTAATTCATGATACGATGATTATTTTATGATTATGTATTAGAGAATTGTTATAAAATAAATCAATACTGAAAATATAGATAATATGCATAATTATATGATGATAATATGATAAAATGATAATACCTACCTTGCTCTATTTAAATAATTAAATTTCACCAGAATTGTAATCAATGATGCATTACCAAATATTGCAACAAAACCAAGTAATTCCAATATAACAAATAATGATAAATCAAATCCTGATACCCTGATAATATCATGAATGTGAGAGTATTTTCAAAATTTTAAAAAATTCAAAAAATTTTTATTCATTTAAATAAGCCTTAAAAAAGAAATAATAATAATAATAATAACAATCCGAATTATGTGGTTCAAATTTGAGTAAAATGAATGATTATTTATTTGATGTTATAAATGAAATCTTATCCTTCAGCTTGTAAAAAAATTCAATTCTCAAATTCATTGATCATTTCACGTAGCAATTATTCGTATTTTTTTTATTAATAATCGAAGAATGTAAATTTTTTTTTTTTTTTTTAAAAAAAGACTAACGTTGAAATTTGTTCGTTATTCATTGAAATATTCGCTTTAATTTTTCGACAATCATTCATGCTAATAATCAATTTGCTAAATAATTATCAGCAATATGATAAAAGAGCAAAATGATTAGCATTGAATAACAGTTATGATTGCTAATTCTAGGATGCTATAATGTTAATGAAGCAATGAAATATAGAATGTTATTGGATAATGAAATAATGAATGATTTTTTAAATGAATCATACTGATAATTTATTCATTTAATCTGAAATTAATATGATTATGCTAATTTGGTCAATTATAAACAAACAATCGAAATCCATAAAGTTATTTTTTTCTTCTTGCAAATAATTACATTGGACGTTTTAATAATCACGTTTTGATAAACACAGAGAGGTTTTATCACAGATCATATGTTTAATATGTTCGTAAATATGTTTAAAAAAAAAAAAATTACGAATAAATATGTGAAACTTGCAAGTTTTTGATCATCATCATTCAATAACATATACAAATTCACAAAGGTGATAAAATCTTAAATGTAATTATCAAAAGTTATTGATAATAATTAATGTTATATCAATGAAATTTCTAATAATCATGTATACAGGGTAAGTATAAGCATGCTTAAATTCTCACTATTAAATTAGCAATTTTAAATTAAATGAAAAATTATAATCTGACAAAAAACAAAACAAAAAAAATGTTGAGAAAATTATAACTTGACAAAAAACAAAAGAAAAAAAAAGCAAATTAGTCGTTGTGTGTGTGTGTTTTTTTTCTTTCATTTTTTATTCATTAATAAATTAAAACTAATATGAATTAATTTTACAATGAAAAATGATATTGCATTTAATTCAATCATTAAATTTACATACATTTGCGCATTAAAATTTAAAATGACACTTTCAACAAGCATAGCTTAGTAAATTTCATCAAAAGGATTTATTTTAATCAAAACCTTTTTTTGAAATTATTTCATTAATATGTACTTAAAAGTTTAGAAATTAATAGCGAAAGAGAAAATGAGAAAGGGAAAAATAGAAAGAAAGCAAAAATTATTTCTTAATCATATATATAAAAAAAAAAAAAAGGCTAAAATGGATGAAGTTAAATATCATTGCCATTTGTTAATAGCATCATCATCATCATCATCATCATCATCAATCTATTTCCATAAATATTGTTTGATGGATGATAAGATGGATAATTTAATTTTCGCATATAACACGTACGTTGAAATGAAAATATACATAGGATTCCTATAAGATTTCAAAATTTTTCAACTTCAAATAAATAAGCAAATACGAATGAATACGATGCATTGCTGAAATTGATTAATGAATAAAACAAAAAAAAACAAAAAAAAGACAAAAACAAAAAAAAAAACCAAAAACGAGAAAAAATAAAAACAAAAAAAAATCAAAAACGAAAAAAATAAAAACAAAAAAATAAACACAGAAAATCAAAAACAAAAAAAACAAAAACAAAAAAAAAGACAAAAACAAAAAAAAAACCCTGCTTACATATATCTGTAAATTGAATTTTACAAATACATTCTTGTGTTTATTCGTCATTAAATTCGATGATAAAATAATCATTTAACTAGGATCAAATTAATATTAGTGATAAAATAAAATTGAAATTTTACATAAGCAATGCAATGATAGCCTCGTCGTTCTTCCAAAATTAATTTCTGAAAGGGAGAGAGAGAATGAGAAAAAATGAGGGAAAGAGAAAGAGCAAATTTTCAGAAAATGAGAATGAATTGTCAAAGATAATTAGTTAATTAGACTAATATATGTGCAAATTAATAAATTTCATGCAAAATGAAATTATTTTGTCGTTTTTTTCTTTTTTTTTTTTAGAAAAGAACTCTTTGTCTTGAATTTGATAAAATAAATTTCTATAAATGTGATTTTTCAACGATAATATCGAGGTTTCTTTTCTTCTTTTTCTTTTTTTTTATGGTATAAATGAATGATGCTTTTAATGGAAAAGAATTGTAGGGATGTTTTAATGAAGATAAAAACAATTTGATATATCTTATTGGCCAGCTAAAATTAGTTGTCCAATAAGAAATGCCAAATTAATTTTTCTTAATCTAATTTTTCCAAATAAAAAAGCTTCACATCCTTTTGCAGCAAATAAAAAATATTTATATGCATAATACATAAACAATTTCAAATTGGGAAATTTGTGATTTAAAATTAGAAACTAAATATCGCTAAAAAAATTAAAATTTTAAAATAATCGAAAATTTAAAGTGACTTAAAAAAGAATTTTTGAAATTGTAAATGGAATAAATGGAAACAGAATGATGTTGACAGGAATATAAGTAAATGTGACAATTTTTTTCCCCCTTTTTATTTTCTTTCTTTAAAAACATTTAGGAAGAGATCATTGCGAGTCAAAAAAAATATGCCAAATGAGTAAAGAAAAAGCGCTAGTTATTTAGCTTTCCCTTTTTTTTTAATTAATTCGAAGCTTTTTTTTTCATATATAGTTTTCTTTATTTCCATAAAAGATTTTCCCCTTATTTCGAGAGAAAAAAAAGGAAAAATAAGAATTGCTGGAAGGATTGGTGGATTAGAATCAAACAAATTTATGTTGATTATTAATTTAAGACATCAAATTTTTATTTCAACCTATCTAATAAACATTTAAAAATACTTTCATACTCTTATATCTAAAACGAAACTTAAAATATTTAAAATAAGTTAAAATTTAAAATTTCAAAATAACCGAAATTTAAAAAATTTTTAAAATAATCAAAAAAATTTCTTTTAAATGAAAAAGTTTTTTACTTATAATAAATCAAAAAACTTAAAATAAGTCAAGATACTCTAATATTTCCCACCTTTTTTTCTTAATTCTTCAAATATTTATCAATAATGTAACCCTATCAGATAGCAGATAAGTAGATATGATATAATCCATCTAATATCTTATCAGATCTATCTAATACACATCTTAAAATACCCAAAAATTCTTTTTTTTTCTTTTTATTTCAAATGCTGATCAACGATATGATTTTATCAGATTCAAATACTTATCAACGATATAATTATCAGAATATCGCAGATAAGTAGATAAAGAGATAAGACTCAACCTATCTAATGCGAAAAAACCTATCTAATAATTTTAAATACTCGAAACATCCTTTCTTTTTTTCGCTTCAAATACTTATCAATGATGTAATCTTATCAGAGAGAAGATAAATGGATAAGATGTATGAATTAGTACAAAATAAAAAAGGTTAATATATAAAAGTGTTTTTTCGTTGACACGAAATGTGGTCGAATTTTTCAATTCCAAACCTTAAACTTGGATAATTAAACCTTTATTCCTCAAAACCCGGTAATACAGAAATGAATTCAACAATTATAATATCAGTATGAACAGAAGGGGGACCAAAGACCAAACGATACCCGTTATCGTCTTTCTAACCGACCTGTCAGAACACGTCTTTCGAAAATGATTTGGCGCTTAGAACCTTTTTATTTTTATTACTGAAATTTCGTGTTATGATTTTCGGAGTTTTTCCGACACGAAAAAGATTAACACAAAATCATTGACAGTAAGAAATAAATAGTATGAAAATATTAGTGATAAAATAATTGATATATAAAATGGAATTAGAATAGAAAATATATTTACAAAATATGAATAAAAACATGGAAATAATTATTACAATAATACTTTTTCAAATGAAAAAATGTTATTTTACCAAAGAAAAAGCTTTAAAAAAAAACGGAAAAAATATTTGTTGCTTAAAAATTCACAAATAAAAATAATAGTAAGGAAAAATAGAATGATGGTTGTTATTGGGTAGCAAAAGGTTTTAATATTTTCACAAAGAAAGAGAAGGAAACAAAGGGACAAAAAGAGGGAGAGAAAGAGGGAGAGAGAAAAGGAAGGAAGAAGGAAAAGAGGCGACAAATAATGAGGTATAATTAAATTGGCTATTTGCAGAGAGGAAATTTTCGCAAAATTTACTCCGTTAATAGTTCATTTCATTTTATTTTTGCAATTTTCTACATCACATGAACTCATTTTTCACTTATTTTTTTTCCGACACGTTTTTTTTCCTTTAACTATAATACAAATTTGATAATAAATTCAATATTTGATAATTTTAAGAAATTTCAAAATTTATGGAAAAATATTTTTCTTTTGCTTTTAAAAAATGAAATTTTCAAATGATGCTGGTAATGAATCTTTGTATCGTGTAATATAACATTTTGTTTTCTTTTTCTTTCCTTTTTTTTTTAGTCATCAACAAATATTGTTCCTTTTTTTTCTTGAGTATTTTCAATTAAATATGTAATATTACAAATATCTAAATCTAACATATTTTCTTGATTGTCTAAATTTTAATGCATATTTTAAAAAAACATATTTAATTTAACATGTAAATAATAATTTGCAAAATAGCAAAATTGAATAAATTAAGAGGAGAATGAAAATGCAAAATAAAATATAATTCTTTTGCAATATTCCCTTAAATTCATATTTCAAAGAAAAAAAATTTTTTTTCCAAAGTTCTTGCATTTGTTGCTTAGCAACTACAATAGCAGAAGTGAATGATTTTGAAAGGCAAAGATTGCATGGAGAAAGTATGGTGATAATGCAAGCATACATGCATGCATAATGCATGCAGTAGTCATATATTCAGTTCATTAAAACACACACACAAAAAAAATCTTTACTTTTTGAATCACAATAAATTGGACAATTTCTGTGAATAATTATTAAAATTGAAAATAAGATCATAGTTTTTTTAAATCATAATTTTTAAATTAAAATTTTATTTTTTTATTTGTCTTACAAATTTGCATATGATTCTTGACCTCAGCTAGTGATATTAGATTTAATATTCAATTTTACTTTTGATAAGCACAATTTTTTTTTCCAGAATTCAAAATTGTAATATGCAAATTTAGGATCAACAATATAAAATTTCAATACAATTGTTAATTTTTAATAAATGAATTGATATATAAATCTAAAATACCATATCCGATCATTTTTAATTATTTAGCAAAAGTAGAAGTTAGATTCATTTTCATAATTTATGCAAAGAAGATAAAATGAAATGGAAGTTTTAAATGACACATGGAATATGGATTATTTCAATGAATTTAGTTCTAATTAAAATTTTATGCTTATCATATAAGCATTGTGTTAAATGCCTGAAGATGATTGCATTTACATTATATCTTCATGCTTTTAAATTGGCCTAAATTATTTCAAACTTAAATTTGTGATAATATTGATGACGCAATCAAATCAAATTTTGAGAAGTCAATTTTTTTAAAAAAAAATTAAAAGGAACTTGAAGAAATCAAAATTACTGAAAAATAATTTTCAATTGATTTTTATTGTCGTTGCTTATTTAGCTTCTAGTCTACAACAAGCACTTCAAATTTCTTACCCCTCTTGTCAAATTTTTTTTTTTTTGTCGTCATTATCTCTTTTCCTATCTTTAAAATACATACAAATATCTCACTCTCTCTCAAAATAATAAATGCTTATGATATCTTTCAAAATTTCACTCATATTTTTTTCTTTTTAATCATACATCTTATTCAATTATTATGGATTGAAAAGTTTTTTCTTTAAAAAAAGAAATAATTTTTAAATTAATTAAAAATTTATTTATTGGATGTCAACTTATTAATCAAATGAACATTTGTAAATATAAACAACATTAAAAATTGAACAAAAAAAAGAAGTGATATTATTTGAAAGAAAAAAAAATGGTATTATTTGAATTTTAAAGTAATAATTAAAGTAATAAAAGTAATAACAATTAAAGTAATAATAATAAAGTAATAATAATTAAAGTAATAATAATTAAAGTAATAAAACGAACAAACGCATCGTTTATATTTGATAATAATTATTCTTCGGTTGTCTAAGACAAATTTAAGCTTTTAAATTATTATGTAAACAAAAATTATTTCGAAAACATTCTTATACGATATGATTTAAATGTCAACAATTTAATTATTTATTTTAATTAGACCACCTGTCTTAAGTATTAGCACTGATTTATGCTTGAACTATTATGAAAACAAAAAAAAAAGTTATTTTAAAAACTAAATAAAAAATTTACGACTTTAGGACAAAATTACAAAGTTTTTGTTAAATAATTTATGGGAAATATTTATGAAAACATTCGATAAATGCTTTGTTTACTTATTTAATTCAATTCATCCATTACTGCATTGTTGAATTTTTTCTTTTCAACCATATTTGATTGTCATAATTAATTTAAATTACCTCGCCAAACAAATTACACAAAGTGTCAACAACGAAGTTTTAAATTGTCACAATTAATGTACAGCATATGAGTCATTTGATGTTAAATAAAGAAAAAAAAGGAAGAATAAAAAAAAGCAAAAATTCCGGCAATATAAGAAATATCTAGAATTAAGCTATTATATCTTTAACATTTTCTAGTAACAATATTTAGACCAAATACTGAATATAATGCCAATTCCGGAATTGAGCTATAACTTGAATGTGTTTCCGCAATAGTATTCATACGAACAAATCGGATATGCATTCCGGAATTAATTTATAGCTTTAACGTTTTTCAATAACAAATATTTAGGCTAAACATTGGGAATAAATTCTGGAATTGAGCTACAGGAAGAAATAATAAAAAAAAAAAAAAAAAATGAAATTTCGGCAATATAAGAAATATTCCAATTTGAGCGACATCTTTAACATTTTCTAGTAATAATATTTGGACCAAACACCGGATATAATGTAAATTCCGGAATGAAGCTATAACTTGAATGTGTTTCCGCAATTGTATTCATACATACAAATCGAATATACATTCCGGAATTAATTTATAGCATCAGTATATTTTCAACTTTCTCTAGCAATAGTATTTAAACTGAATCAGATATAAAATTTATTTTGCCTATTTTTTTTTTTTTTTTTATTGTTCTTATTATTCTATCTATAGAGTTATTTCCTCTTTTTTCAAACATATAGAAGACAAAAAAAAATAAAAATAAAAAAAAACAAAAAAACAAAGTATAATGAAAATAATGAAACAAATGTGAATTGACTTGCCCAAAAAAAAAAAGAAAAAAAGATCAAGTTTGAAAGTTTGAATGAAAGAAATGACTAGCTAAGAAAATTTTGCTAAATATCTTCTAGAAAGAATTGCAATGTAACATTTCAATTAAAGAAGAAAAAATAACGAAGGGAAAAAAAAGAAAAAAAAATTGTTCAATGAATGCTTCAATTAGTTTTCTTTTCCTTCTTCTTCTTCTTATTGTTAAAATTAAATGAAAACAAGAAGCCAAGAAATGGTTTTTCAATATTTAATATTTTTTTTTTTAAAACCAAATTAATAGTTTTTAAAAATGAAAAAAAATTGGCAAAGATGACAAATGACAAAATAGCAATAGTTTTTCCATTTCTTTTTGTCATATGTTATCATTATCATAACTCTTTATTACATTTATTATTCAATAATTATAGCACGTATTATGCATTAATTAAAGGTTAATTACAAATTTAATAGGCTGTCATTGAAAAAATTACGATGTCACATTAATTAGGTGTTAATTACAAATTGATAAACTATCATGTCATTACTGTTTAGGTGTAATATATTTGTTATTTTGTTAGTATATAATTTTGAAAAAATTTAAATAAATTTCACACTGCTAATAACAATCTTGATGATATATGAATTCAATAAAAATATAATAAAATAAATAATTTCTTTTATGCAAATTTTTTCCATAAAAGTAATTTTATTACTTTAATTGAATTTACAGCAAAATTATTAGCAGTTTAAGGTTAAATTTCTTTCATAGAATCTTCATAGTGTATTCATAGTGATGTTATTATTGGATCAATTAATTCGAAATGTATCATCATGGCATTTTTATGATTTTCTCGAATTGAAATATTTACAATAATTTAGTTAATTTACATAAATACTTTAAATAAATTGAAATTAAAATTTACTCAAATTTATGAATTTCAAAAATAACCAATAAACCACTGAAAAATGTCATATTAAAGAGCATTTAAAAACAAAATTTATTTACAAAAAAAAAAAGTTTTAATATTTATTTGGTCAAAAGAACAAATGGATGCAAACACTTTTATCAACTTTTGAAAATTTTAATCTGTTAAAATTATCCATAAAAATTTAGGTTTCCTAAAAAATATGATGTTGGAATATATTTTCTTAGCTAGCATAAAAACGGAATAATTATCCGGATAAAAGTTTAAAATATGAATAATTTACCTGAATGAATCAAATGACTGTGCCAGATATTTATACTTCCAAAATGATTAAACTATTAAAATTTTTGTGATAATTTGAAATTCCAAAAGCAATGATTTTGATTCGAACAAATCACGTAATTATTACCATAGTAATCTCATAAGTTGAAATTTTGGAATTAAAATTGAAAACTGAAACACTAAACACTAGATGTTTCATAATCCCTATGCTGTAAATTAACCGGATTCATCTGTTTAGTAACAAGTTTCTTTTTCCCCTTTTTTTTTTAAATTTAATCGAATTTTTATAAAATTATAAATGAATATCAGGAAGTCAGTCATCATTGTCACATTTTCAATTCATTGTTAACAAATTTTAAAAATAAAAAAATACAAATTTAATAATTTGAAAATTATCACATTGATTGGGAAAAATTTTTGAAAAAATTTTCAATTTTGATTCATTATCTTCCAAAAATAAATGATGTGAAAATTTAGCACAGATTTTATTCGTTCTTTCTTTTCTTCCTTTTTGCTTTTTTTTTTTTCTTTTCTTCTCATTAAAAAAAACAACTTTAAACAAATGATATATTAAAGATGAAGATGAATTACTTTGATTTATTGAAATGCTCCATAATGTTCCTCTTTCATCCAATTATAATTCATTTGATTTATTTACTTTTTTTTTTCCTTCTCAATTAATTTCTAAAATTCATCAAGTTTATTTACATAAAAAAGTGAATAGCAAATTGTTCATTAATATAAATTAATTTAATTTTTTTTTTTTTTAATCAAAAAATTTTGACACTTTTTTTATTTCGTTTAATTTTCTAATAATACATTCATACTTCAAAAGTTTGTCTAATTAGATAAATTTGATTTTGTGTAGCTTTCATTAATTGTTCGCCTAATTTTACTTAAAAAAGTTTATTTAATTTTAGGATAGGAATTTTAGTGAATCGACCAGTGAAATGCCTTTTTAATTTCACATTGGAGAGAGAAAGAAAGGGAGAGAGAGGGTGGGAAAGGGAGAGAGGCATTAACGTGCATTAAAAATTTGTCAGAGAGAGAGGTAGTTATCAATAGATTTAAATTTAAATTAATTTTTGATCATTTGAAATTGTTAGTATTACGATATATGTATACATATATATATATATATATATATATCACGATTTTATCACGATTATTATATATATCACGATTTTATCACGATTATTATAATTATTTTTGAAATCTATCATCGTTATATCATTTAAGTATTTGAAAAAGAAAAAAGTAAGTTTGATATTAAATACTATTAAAATGTATTTGTCATAAAATTGTCCTATTTTCCAATGACATAATTTTTTCATTTCTTTATCATATTTTCATCTATTTTTCATCGTATATTTCCGTTATTCATTTTTTTATCTTTGTTATATTTCCATTTCCTATCCGTATTTTTGTCATTGCCATATTTTTGTCACATACTTGTCCACATATATATATATATATATATGTGTCACTTTTTCCTCATGTACTTCCATTACTTCCTGTCCTATATTTTCGTCATTACTTTTCATTTGATGCCATACATTTTTCGTTTTACTTCCTAAAGCTATACTTTTAGTACTTCCTTGTTCAATTATACTAGTTTAAATCATCTGTAGTAAGAAGGAAAAAAAAAAGA